AAGGACGACGGACGACAAGGCGTGCGGTGGGGACAGGCGGCGTACGCGGACGCGCAACACGACGAGTGGGACTACTAGGACGAACAGGCGAGACAGGACGCGACGCAGGCTCACGACGCTCAGTAAGACCCCCTGACTGCTCAGTGTAAGGAGAGGGAGCAGGCAGCGGCGAGCCAGGCAGTAACGGAAGACCAGTAGAAGACGGAAGACTAAGAACCTGGCGAAGCACAGAGTCAGGGGGCGGCTGAGACGACGGAGACGGCGGAGCGAAGAACAGGCGCGGCTGTGCAGGACCAGCAACACCAGTAGCTCCAGCACCTCCAGAAACTCCAGCACCCCCAGCGCCAGCTCCTCCAGGACCAGCTCCACCAGTAGCAGAACCCCCAGAACCGGCACCCCCAGTCCCAGGGTCTCCAGTCGCAGTGTCCCCAGCAGCGGCACCCCCAGAAACGGTACGCCCAGCCCCAGCAGCTCCAGGATTGCCAGCAGAAGAGCCCCGGGCTCCAGTACTGCGACCCTGACGGCGACCGTACCAGTCGTGCAGCTGCTGGGAGGTGAGAGGCACACGCGGACGAAGGCGGCCACTCCAAGGGGACCGCACACCAGCAGGCTCAGCACCCTCAGACCTAGTAACTCCAGGCTCAGCACCCCCAGACTCAGCACCCCCAGAACCCTCACACGTAGGCTCCGCACCTCCAGGCTCCGCACGTCCAGGCTCCGCACCTCCAGGCTCCGCACCTCCAGGCCCCGCACCGCCAGACTCCTCACACGCAGGCACAGTACCCCCAGGCTCCGCACCTCCAGGCTCCTCACGCACTAGCTCAGCACTCCCAGTCGCAGCACCTCCAGGCTCCTCACGCGTAGGCTCAGTAGGCACCCCCAGGCTCAGTACCCCCAGGCTCCGCACCCCCAGGCCCAGCACCCCCAGGCGACGACAGTACCATCTCCAGGAGGACCGGAGTCACCAGTGACCTCAACAGGTGCAGGCACGGGAGGGTCTACCTGAGAAACACCTGAGGGAGCAGGACCTGGTGCGGGGAGGGGGTGTACCTGGGGAGAACCTGGAGCGAGGAAGAGCGGCGGGGGAGTGCGAGGAGAAGTACGGTAGGGAAAGAGACGGTAGAAGGGAACGGACTCGTCAAAGGTGACGTCCTGAGACGCAAAGACACGGCGCGAGGTGGGCTCGTAGAACTGCCAGCCAGGCGCGTCAGGAACAAAGCCAAGGAAAACACAGGGAATGGCACGAGCGGAGAGCTTGTCCGCAGTAGTATCGCGGACAAACGCACGAGCACCCCAGACCCGGAAACGCGACGCATCACCAACCTTCCCCGTCCACAGCAGTGTGGGCGAGGTCTCCGGCAAGGAGACACGGGGCCAGAGGTTGAGGTGATGCGCTGCGTACCGGACAGCAAACGGCCACAGAAAATGGGGAGCCGCCGCATGGATCATGGAGGTACGAGCGACCTCCATGACTAAGCCAATGCGGCGCTCAGCAACCCCATTCTGCTGTGGAGAGGCCGGAAGCATGAACGACTGGGTGATGCCGTGCTCCGCACAGAAGGCTCGCAGGAGGTCGGAGGAGAACTCACCACCTCTATCAGAGTGCAGACGCAAGACAGGAAAGTCCGACTGGAACCGCTCGCGGAGCTGGAGACGAGCAGCGCGGATCCAGGGGATCAAAACAGCAGGGACGTCCCCCTTGCTGCGCAAGGGGAAGACCGTGGTGTAGCGCGTGTAGTCGTCAACTACCAGCAGGAAGTACCGCTCACGGCCCTGTCCCTGGACGCGGGCCGGGCCCCACACGTCCAGGTGGAGAGTCTGCAGTGGAGCCTCTGTGGGAGGAAACGAGGAGGAGTGAGGAGCGGCGCGCTGCCGCCCCTCGACGCAGGGAATGCAGGGCGGCGCAGGCGAGGGAGGGAGGGCAGGGAGAGACCTGGGAAGGCCAGAGACCAGGCAACGAGAGTGCATGCTACGAAGGCGAGGCAGGGAGGGGTGACCAAGGCGGTGGTGCCACAGGAGAGTGTCGTGGGACAGGCGGCGGCACTCACACTGGGTAGCAACCTGAGCAGACGCGTACAGCTGTGGAGACAAAGGAGTGGAGCGTGAAACAGTGGTGAGGGTGTACAGACTAGACCCTGGCTCACGTGTGAACGTGGCCAGGTGGCGGCCGGTCTTGGAGCATGTACAGATCGCCACACGCTGTCCTCCAGGAGTCCAGGTGTCAACCCAGTGATCCTGAAGGACGGCGTTGCTCACCAGGTTCGTAGAGAACGAGGGAACATGGAGACCAGACAGCTCACCAGACGGGACCGCTGGGCACGGAAGCACAGTCGCGGCCCGTGCAAGCACTGGACCCCCAGAGGGGTCAGCCAGTGAGACAGGAACAGGTGCAGGGAGAGGGGTGACAGTGGTGCTGTCGCGAAAGAAACAGCGCGAAGCACCAGAGTCAAGTGTGAACGTGTGCAAAGCCTGAGCGGACGCAGTACCAGGGAGCACAGACTCACTAGCACCTAGGGCTGCAGTCTCTATACCTGGGTCAGGTGGCACACACAAGTAACAGTCACCCTCAGCACTAACAGTCAATGCATACATAGCAGCAAGAATAGCATCATAGTCTAGATCAAAGATAGGAACACCACGCCTAAGCAGATCTGCCCAGTTGGGGGGCTCGACGCGGGCTGCGCGGGCGGTGCGCGGGGCAGCTGCAGGCCGCGTGCGGGCGGCGCAGGCTCAGGGCGGGCTGCGCGGGCTCAGGGCGGGCTGCGCGGGCGTCTAGGAGAGCGGGACGCGGGTGGCAGCAGTAGCGCGCGCTAAAAAAAAAAGGGCTATGCGCGGGCTCAGCCGAGGCGCGCGCGGGTAGCAGGCAAGGATAAGAAGGAGTAGGTGGGGTAACACTGTAACCGGTGGGCCCAAATCTTAGGTCCTAAGACCTAAAGCTCTGATACCATCTTAGAATCTTAGACTAGGAAGAAGTGATTGGATTAGGTCAAGGGGGGGGTACAAGAGAGAATGTCGAGAGAATTTCTGTACCCCCTAGTGCTACCCCACTACAGCCTAGATAAAACTAACATGCATATATAGTTTGACACATTAATTATAGACTGAAGCCCTGGCTGCTTGTGCAATTCCTTCAACTGCAGCTATCTTTAGGTACTGTACCACCGGTACTCAAACCAGACTCCTTCCAGTGAAGGGGCCTGCCTGCACTAGACAACTCACCTCAATTTCCAACCCAACCCACCTTTTTGCTGCCTATCCACTCTCCATCATCTTCCCCCTGCTCTCACCATCCTCCCTTGCCCTCTCTCCTCCTCTCTACATGCTGCATGTCCAGCTTGCCTTGCCATGCCACTCTCGCCCCTACATAAAATCCTCTCCACCCTCGATACCCCAACAGCCCCCTCCATACCCCTACAGCCCCCTCCATACCCCAACAGCCCTTGCTTTCATTTTCTCTTTCCTTGCCAAACCACCATCCCCCGTGTTCAAATCCTTCATGCTTTCCCCGTAATCCTGTACCCCATCCCCTTCACACACTCAACTCCTCCACACTGTTTCCCATCCCTTGCTCTTGCCCTAACTAACATTCCCAGCTGTGGTGAAAGCCTCTCCACACACCAAGCCCAAAAATCCTCTCCCCCCCCCCCCCCCCCTAAGCCCTTCCCCACCACCCACCCCCTCACCCCCCTTCTCTCCCCACTCCGCAACACTGTTTCCTAACCTAAACACTTCCTCTGCCACTCACCAGCTTTCCCAGCTGCGTACCTCTTAACCAAAAACTTCCTCCTCCTCCGAGCCCTCTACCCTACACCCTACCCCCTTTTACACCTCACCTTCCCTCCCCTCCCCTCCCCTCTCCCTGTAACGGCCATACTAGACCTTCTCTCCCTTTCTCTCCCTGTAACGGCTACGAAAGCCTGTAAGACGATGCAAAACACCCAACCTCCCCCTACACCATTTCCCAACCCTAGAACCGCAGTCAACCCTCGCCACATCCATAACGTCATCAAAGTCAAGCTCGGCAAGAACCCTCACGCAACACATTGAACCTTCACCCACGCCGTTTCTCAGCCCTAAAACCGCAGTCAACCCCTTGATAGGCTCTCCTCGCTCCAAACCGCTACCGAAGCCCGGCCAGGCGGGAACCCATCAACACCACCCCCACCCTGCTCCCACACCCCTCCACAGTCAACCCCTTCGATAAGCTCTCGCGCCGATCCGCTACCGAAGCAAAGCCCGGCCGAATCCGAACCTCGCAATCACGTATGGCATACCGAAACGACGTCCGCACGACTCTCTACTGACGCTAAGCCACCACGTGGCGTTAAGAAACGTGTAGATCTAGCGAGAACAACCGGCTGCCACGTGGCCGTTGAGGAAACGCGTAGATCCGAGGCGAGAGCAACTAGCAAACGATGGCAGCACCAGCGACTGAATACAAAGGTCTGTAATCGCGTGAAGGACTGGAAACCTCAAGGTATGGCCGTCTCACGATCTGGAAATCCTATATCCTAGCTTCGAGGTCTTGGATGCCTGGGAACCCTAGAACGGGCTGTGGTGAGCGGAGCAAGAAAAGCGCAGTGCCACTCTTGGGACTCTTAAAATCTCTCAAGAGAGCGACGAGAGCGACGAGACCTAGAATGGTTGATCCGATGCGTTGAACCACACGGAGGAGCGCGAAGAGAAGACGGCGATAAATCCTCCCCGACAGCACCAAATCCCCGAGATCTATCTAGTAGGCTCGACACAAGCCCTGATTCGATACAAAGATCGGCTTCGATACAAGCTCTGCTTCGATATGTTCCCTCGCGGCACCAGATCTGTTGATTTGGTGCGGTAAAAACAACAGTGTCTTATCGACGAATGAAGGAGCGGGGTGGAACTATCGAGCCGGGCACCTCAAAGGTGGAAAGGGGAACGAAGGGAAAGAAATGGACGTTGTGAAAAGGGCAGAAGCAAGAAAAATAAAATCAACTATAAAGAGGTAAAACACCAGTCTGTTATATAGGTACGTATCGTTTCACCACGTGTCGGCTTGCGGTAAGCGCCGCAGCCGCTATACCCCCAACAGCCCCCGCGATCGCCGCTGTCCTAGGTCCTGCCGCGGCCTTATAAAGCGCTCCTGTGCCCAGCCCTGCTACGACCGCATTCCACGGATCGTCCACGCCACCGCGGTAATGATACGCGGCGCCTTCGATCCCGGAATATAGTAGCCCCACGATCCCCAGCGCGTTTCCCGCGGATCTCCCACGCGATCCGGCCGCGTTAAGCACCCTGTTCGCGCGCAGCTTGGCGGAATCCCCCGCCTCCCACGAGCGGAAGCCCTCCGCCGTTCCGCGGATTCCGCCGAACAGCGCTCCGCCAAGATACCCGCAGCCGGTGTAGAACGTGAGGTTGTCGCCAAAGCTTCGTCGCTGAACGGCAGCTTCCTCGGTAAAGAGAAACTCGGGCGCGTCGGGAAGGCGGTAGATGCCCTGGATGGATCGCGCGTCGAGATTAGGGTAGAGATCGGCGTACGGGTTGTACAGGTGCCCGCCCGATGGGGTTACGGCGTCGTTCTCGTCGTGTAACGTGGCCATCGAGCGCCACGTGGCGAGCGGCGGAGAGCCAGAAACGCTAACAGGCTTTGATGGAGAAGCTATCTTCAGGGTACCGAGGAAAGCTAATCGAGGAACAAACAGCGTGGGAGGAATGGAATGCAGTGAACCCGGTGGCGGGAGGGTGGAAAAAGGGGGACGAGGGTGGTGGTGGTGGGTGGTGGTGGTGGTGGTGGTGAGTTGAGCAGGAAGGGGAGTATGTGGGGGGGAACACTTGTGCTTGCCAAAGCGTCCTGACATTTTCTCATGGCTTGTTTCAATTTCGGTTCATGTTCTGAACTGCTAAACGTCAAGAAAACACGGTCCACTTCTTGACAGGACGTTTGCGGCTGCGAACTCAAAATGTCAGGAAACTTGCGTTTACGGTTTCCGTTCGAGATTTCGAAGCAGTTGAAACGCGTTCTTCAAGGTACACCTTCATCCAAACCAGGGCTGTCGTTTCGTTTTGGGCCCCCCGGACAAATCAGGGGGCCCGGCATGAACGACCCTGTATTTAGCAGGGTTGGGGCGAATCTCGGCCCTTTAGGCTTCAGGGCTGCAATTTATTCCTCCCTTTGAATTAGGTTTGGTACGATACTCTGAGATTAACTTCAACAAGCAAACAAAAAACCACTAGTTCGTGTCATTTCACTACGCATGCTGAGCAGGCCCCCTAGCCTGGCAGGCAGCACTGGTGATCTTGAACACGAGGATGGGGTAGTCATCTCGCCACTCTGAGGGTGTTTTGCTAATGCTATGCCAATTCATGTTGTGATTGGCGAAGTTAGGGAGAAAGTACTAAGTTGTGATTGCCGATTCATTTTGTTAAGGAGCGAAGTTGTGATTGGCGCAAGTACTAAGTAAGGTTGAGTGAAATTTGGGGCCTAACCACACCCAAATTTGCAATCTGGACAGAAACGGGGGGGAGAGGAAATTGGAGGGGTTGTGGGGGAGAGGAAGGTATGTGTGGGGGACTCGAGAGAATCTGTTCCAGGGCTCGCCTAGAATCTACCCTTTAGACACAGGGCCTCAGCCCAAAATCAACCCTGTAAGGAATCAGGGCCAGAAATTTTCCAACCCATCAATTTCAGTTTCCAAGGGCGAATCAGCCCTGGAATTCAAGGTCCAGCAGGGCAAACGCCCTGCAAGCGACAGCCCTGATCCAAACCCAAGGCCCTCCCAGTTCCTTGGTGAGTCCAGCTGTCAGCCGCAGAAAGGAAGAACCTTCGTCGCTTTTGGGCTGATAGTAGCCGTTGTAAGCAGATTCGCCTCAGATTAAAACCACAATCCTTCAGAGATCGTATTTTGTTTTTAGCATTATGTTTCCAACATTCTCCAAATCCTTCCAGCGGTTCCCAGAACGGTCAGAAGCGATAGAGCTCGGTGCGACGAAGTCACGAAACCTACAATTTTCCAGAACAAGGCAATCCACTCACCGTAACGACTCCCGCCACACCACCCGCCGCACAACCCGCCGCTCAACCCGCCGCTCAACCCGCCGCTCCACCCGCGTAGCTCGTCACCTCACCGGGCTCTACACGCTCCACGCACGCCGTTTCCTCCGCAATCGAGTCGCTTATTGCGCATTCCGGTCCCCAATCGTTTAGTGCTACAAACCGGAGACGCAGGGGAAGAACAGCGTGGGGGCGAGAAAGAGGAAAGGCAAGGCGAGGAGAGGAGAGGAGAGGAGGGATAGCAGGGAAGTGGGAGACGAGAGAGGGAGCCTGAGGAGGATTGAACGTGCTGCCTGCCGCTCAGTTAAATATGCGCATTCACAGCTCTGCTCGTTTCGCGTGCTGCTAGGCTCATTCACAGCTCTGCTCGTCGTTTTTTGTTCCTGCACGTTTCTGCATGCTGCTGAATCGCAATCGCAATCGCGGAAATCGCGGAGATCACGGAAGGTCGTGATGATTCGAGCGCTGCGTATGGTGCGCGACGCGTGGGTGTTCTTCACGGGGCGGGGGGACTCGGAGCTGGCGCGACAGACGAAAAGATTGCAGTTCGAAGCCGCTAAGGTGAGACAAGAACGCGCGCACGCAAGGCATCTGGTCCGGTACGAAGCGGTGGGGACCGGTCACGTGGGATGCACGCGTGGGTGTTTTTCACGGGGCGGTGGTACTCAGAGCTAGCGTGACAGACGAAAAACTTGCAGTTCGAAGCAGCTAAGGTGAGACTCGCACACGAGTTTTGAGACGTCTCAAAACATCTCTTTTATCACGTGGATAGAAGGCACTATGGTACGGTGAAACTCGTCTCAGAAGCAGCGTGCCGGAAAGAACAGGTGTCGGGCAAAATAGGTGTGGAACAGGTGTGAAACTGTGTTCCTCTTGCTTCCCTCCTCTTCTCCCCATCCAGCTGAGGGCACTGAGAGTGGCACAGCAGCAGGTGGTGGAGAAAACAGCATCGGAGCACGCGAGGCGAGTGCTGGGAGGAATGTAGCATCCCACTCTCTCTTCCTTCTCCGCCTTTCCTCCTCTTCTCCCCTCGTTTCCCCTCTTTATTTGGCTGAGGGCACTGAGAGTGGCGCAGCAGCAGGTGGTGGAGGAAACAGCGTTGGAGCATGTGAGGCGAGTGTAGTGGGGAGTGTTTGCTTGCAAGTGGTGGCGGAAGGGACACCCTCTCACTGTCTGTTGCTTCTCTTCTTTCCTCTTATTCTCTCCTCAGGTGAGGGCGCTGAGAGTGGCGCAACAACAGGTGGTGGAGGAAACGGCATAGGAGCATGTGAGGCGAGTGGTGGGGGAGATGCAGCAGGTGGTGAAGGGGACACCCTCTCACTGTCTGTTGCTTCTCATCCTTCCCTCCTCTTCACCTATCATATCCCCAATTCGCTCAGCTGAGGGCCTTGAGAGTGGCACAGCAGCAGGTGGTGGAAGGGACACCCTCTCACTCTCTCTTGCTTCTCTTCTTTCCTCTTTTTCCCCTCCTCAGCTGAGGGCCTTGCGAGTGGCACAGCAGCAGGTGGTGGAGGAAACGGCATTGGAGCATGTGAGGCGAGTGGTGGGGGAGACTCGGTTGGGTGGCTCTGTTCTCTTTACACACACCTCTTCTCCCTTTGCCCAACTCTGTTCCGCCCTGCACCACTCAGCTGAGGGCCCTGCGGGTGGCACAGCAGCAGGTGGTGGAGGAAACGGCATTGGAGCATGTGAGGCGAGTGGTGGGGGAGATGCAGCAGCTGAAGCAGCAGCTCGATGGCATGGTGAGGGGTGGTGGTGGGTGGTGGAATGCGGTGGAAAGGTATTTATACTGAGAAGGTGAGGCGAGTGGTGGGGGAGATGCAGCAGCTGAAGCAGCAGCTCGATGGCATGGTGAGGGAAGTGGTGGGTGATAAGTGTCGTGAGAGTGGTGGAATACGGTGGGAAAATAATCTACAGTGCGAAGGTGAGGCGAGTGGTGGGGGAGATGCAGCAGCTGAAGTATCACCCACCTTGATGGCAGGGGTGGGAGGATGGTGAGGGGTGGGAGCATGGTGAGGGGTGGGAGGATGGTGAGGGGTGGGAGGATGGTGAGGGGTGGGAGGATGGTGAGGGGTGGGGGGATGGTGAGGGGTGGGGGTGTGGTGCGGGAGTGGGGGTATGGTGAGGGGTTGTAACACACTGGCCACGTCACACCTTGCCTTACACACGGCAGAAAACCAAAAGTGACACATGGCAGAACATGTCCACCACGTCATAGAAGTAGTGTTTTGAGACGGCAGAAGACAACCATGTCCACCATGTCACTCTTGAGAGGCCTAAATCTCACACACGGCAGAAGTCCATGTCCACCACATACATCACACTTTGACGATTTTTGAGGCGCCTCAAAACTCACACACGGCAGAAGTCAACCATGCCCACCACGTCATAGCAGTAGTGTTTTTGAGACGGCAGAAAACCACGCGCTTCAACCATGCCCACCACGTCACACTTGGTCTCGTGCTACCATGTCAGATTTCGCACTTTTGAGGCACCTCAAAAGAAAACCATTCTTGTCCCGCACGTCCTTTTCTCACATGTCCTTTTCTCACATGTCCTTTTCTCACATGGTCTTGTCTCGTGCTACCATGTCACACGTTCCGCTTGACCGTTCTGTGACCTCTCGCTGTGCTTCATGCCTTCTTTCCTAATCACTGCCCACTCCGTGGGCTGCAATATTTCTCTCCATATGAAATCCGCGTGCATTGAGGTCGTTTTTGAGGCGCCTCAAAAGTCGTTCTGTGACCTCTCGCTGTGCCTCTTGCCTTCTTTCCTAATCACTGCCCTCTCTGTGGCTGCCCTCCCTTGTCGACCAATGACTGCTGTCCACGTGGCAGGAGGAGGCCGCAAAGGCTCTGGCTGAGAGTGTAGCGGAGCAGGCTAAAGCGAGGATGCAGCAGGAGGAGGAGGAGGATGACAGGCGGCTGCTGCAGACTATGGACCAAACTGCACTGGAACGGCTGCTGGGGTATGGGAGAGAGGAGACTGGAGGGGGTGTGAGGCAGGAGAAGGATGGTGGTGGGAATGGCAAGTGATCGACTCTGCAGCAGGAGGGAGGAGGAGGAGGAGGGAGAGGGCAGGAGGAGGGAGGAGGAGGAGGAGGGAGAGGGCAGGAGGAGGGAGAGGGCAGGAGGAGGGAGAGGGCAGGAGGAGGGAAAGGGCAGGAGGAGGGAGAGGGCAGGAGGAGGGAGAGGGAAGGAGGAGGATGAGAGGCGGCTGCTGCAGACTATGGATCAAACTGCACCGGAACGACTACTGGGGTATGGGAGAGAGGAGTCAGGAGGGGGTGGGAGGCAGCAAAAGGATGGCGGTTGAAATGGCAAATAATTGACTCTGCAGGAGCAGCAGGAGGAGGATGAGAGGCGGCTGCTGCAGACTATGGATCAAACTGCACCGGAACGACTACTGGGGTATGGGAGAGAGGAGACAGGAGGGGGTGGGAGGCAGGAAAAGGATGGTGGTGGGAGTGGCAAGTGGTTGACTCAGGAGGAGGATGACAGGCGGCTGCTGCAGACTATGGACCAAACTGCACTGGAAAGGCTGCTGGGGTATGGAAAAAGGATGGTGGTGGGAGTGGCGAAGTGATTTGGGCGACTGCTACACACAAATATTGATTCACCCTGACGAAATTCTTCTGGGCTCAATTGATGCCATTGACAATGTCACACACTGCTGCTGCTGCTGCTGCTGCCAGTCGCTGGGTGCAAATGCATAACACTACAACTATGCTGTGAACACACATCCGCAGAAAGAACCCTTGTGCATATCCATACTCCACACCGCGTTGATCCAGTTTTGAGTTCAGATTAGCAATTACTCATAAGTGTCAAACTTAGTGGACTAGGGAATGTTAGCGTGAGTAGCGAGAGGGTTGGGCGAGAGAGAAGGACAAAAGAGGACTTTAGTAATAGGAAACAGGTACAAGATATAGGCAAACAAGATCAAGAGTTGCACCACCAAAAAGATTAGATAACTACACTACAGCTAGAACTACATGCAGTTATACAGACATATATATAAAATATATATTCTGACACACCCCATAACTGCATGCAAGAATAGCCATGTGCAGAAACACCACCTATAGGGGTACACCAAGCAGAAGAAGGCAGCAACACGCAAGAGTAGTGGCACCCGGTGCAATAGTGGCAGATACCACTACATAAAGCCCTTAGCCAAGACAGAAAGAGAAAAAAGAGGTGCATGTGGCGCAGGTAGCCTGGAGAGGAGCGTGCGGCGGCAACATGCGGTGGCACAGCAAGGCTCAACGGCAACACCTGCCACTCAACAACAGAGACAAAAAATGGTAAGAGACGGTGGAGTCAGGGGCTTCAGCAGGTGTCAACAGACCGAACGAGGATGGATGCATTGATGCAAACAAGGGTACAAGTACTAACCCTAATTGGGTTGTACCCCTTATGGGCTACCCCACTACAGCCTACACAACACAAACATCATAATGTTCTGACACAACCTCATAGGCAAAGTGGGGGAGAACAAGTGGTCACAAGACCAGTCAAGAAAAGCAAGCAAGCTCAGGGTGGATCACGAAGTCACCACACATTCCGAGCACAAGTAAATGGCCACAAGGCCAGTTCACATGCAGAGTTATACAAACGAGAACAAAAAGTACAGTGATCACAACCTAGCAGGTGAAGGTATAGGTATATATAGATCACAATAGCAGGCACAAGACCTAGAGCAGTACAAAAACGCTGATGATCACCAGGCAGAAGTGCCTTGGTGAATATAACACTAGTGTTGGCACGTGTGGCAACGTAAGGAAGACGAAGCTGACCACGGTGCTGCAACTCTCGAGCAAGGAAGTAACGCAGAGCAATGTGCTTCGTTCTGTGCTCCAGTCTCTGCTCCTCACACAAGGAAATAGCGGCATTGTTGTCTACGTACAGAACTAGAGGAGAACGAGGCCGCTCTCCCAGGTGGGTGAGCCAGCGTAACTCCTGTGTAGCCATGGCTCCTGCGTAGATCTCAGCCTCACAACTGGAGCTGAAAACAGAAGACGAGCGGGTAGACCGCCAAAAAACCGAGCCGGACACAAGGCTGAAAGTGTAACCCTGTAACGACCGTTGCGTAGCCAGGTCGTCAACCCAAGACGCGTCTGAGTGTCCAGTGAGCTAGGAAGCTAAGAGGGTACGCATGGTCAGGTCGAGTGCAGATCATCAGGTACATGAGGCAGCCCACAAGCTCTGGATACGGGCCACTCGGCTCTACGGACTCGTCCGAAGGTGGAGCTGAGAGCGAGTGACCGGTAGGCAGAGGAGTGGACTGTGGCGAGGAGAACCGGAAGCCGAAGCGCTGAAGGACCTGGTGCACCATGTGTGACTGAGTCAGAGTGATGGTGCGCCGTGCTCTGTCCCGGGTGATCTGCAAGCCAAGGTAGCTGCGCAGCTCACCCAGGTCAGTGCAAGTGTGTCTCTTCTGCAGCTCCGACTTCACAAGAGCCAGTGCCTCAGTGTCACCAGTGGCAAAGACCAAGTCGTTGACGTACACGAGGATGTAGAACGACGGCAGCGAAGTGTCGGTGCGCAGAAACAGCGACGGGTCAGCAGTCGAAGGAGCAAACCCAAGAGCCGCAAGTGTCGTCCTTAGTGTGTCGTGCCACTCACGAGGCGCCTGGCGGAGACCGTAGACTGGTCGTCGGAGGCTCCACTAGGTACCCTCAGGAAACGACCTAGTGAAGCCAGGAGGGCGGCGCAGCCATATCTCCTCGTGCAGGCTGCCCTGCAAGAACGCTGTGCTGAAGTCAAGAGAGTGAAGCTCGTAATCACGCTGAGCGGCAACGTGCAGCAACACCCAAAGAGTGGTCATCTTTGTGGTAGGGGAGAAGGACTGAAAGAAGTCAACTCCCTGTCGCTGACTGAAGCCTTGTGCAACGTAACGAGCCTTGAAGACAGGCGGAGAACCCGGCGGCCGCTTCACCATGAAAATCCACATGCCATCGACTATGTTCGCCCCAGGAGGGGGAACCTCGTTGACGTAGGTGCCTGTGGACTTCCAAGATGCCATCTCTGCGTCCATGGCTGTCTGCCACTGAGAGGAGTAGGGACCTGTAATCGCCTCTGCGTAAGAGCGCGGGGTCGGGATGTCCAGTGCATCCGGGTCTCCCTCATGTGCAAGCAGCATGGCCACGGGATGAGGTACAGCAGCTGCAAGACACTCAAAGTCCTCCTGCCTGTCCGCGAGGACGTGCGTGCCAAGAGCACACTCACCCCTGACGGACGGAGGACAGACAAACTCAGACTCAGCAACAAGACTAGTGGCGTAGTCTAGACGACACGCAGCAGCAAAGTCAACAAGCTCAGCAACTAAGGCAGACGCATCAGTGGACTCAAAAGAAGGGTCAGTGACAACAGTGGCTAGGAGACGCGTGACAGTAGGGCTGGCAGCACGAACCAAGTCAGACTCAGGGTCCGGAACGTCAGGAAGAGAGGACGCCGGAGGAGACGGCAGGGGAACTCGATGTGGAACAGAGGAAGGACGGAGTGCCATGGTGTGCATCCTAGGGACAGGTGGAGGACAAGGACGGGGAACACAACGAGCACGGCGAATAGTGCGAACAAGGGAGGCAGGATGAGGCGCAGGCTCACTACGCCCTGTAAGGGAGGCTTGCTGCTCAGTGTAACGAGGGGGGGCAGGCAGCGGTGAGTCAGGAGGAAGGGCAGTGGACGAAGGAAGACTAAGAACCTGATGGAGCATCGAGTCAGGCAGTAACAGTGACAGCTGCAACGGCGGCAAGAAAAACGGTCGTTGCTGCACAGTGCCTCCAGCACCAGTACCGCCAGCTCCTGCGTCTCCAAGGTCAGCACCTCCAGCTCTAGGGTCTGCAGCTCCAGCGCCTCCAGCTCCAGTGTCTCTAGTGCTAGCGCCCCCAGCTCCAGTGTCTCCGGCACCAGCGCCCCCAGCTCCAGTGTCTCCAGCTCCAGCGCCTCCAGCGCCAGCGCCTCCAGCGCCAGAGCCTCCAGCTCCATTGCCTCCAACTCCTGGATCTCCAGCTCCAGCGCCGCCAGCTCCAGTGCCGCCAGCTCCAGCGCCGCCAGCTCCAGCGGCTCCACCGGCAGTGCCTCCAGAGCCACCGTCTTCAGCTGCAGTGCCTCCAGCTCCAACAGCGCCACTCCGAAGGCGGGTGCGCCGAGCAAACCACTCGCGCAGCTGCTGTGGTGAGAGAGGCTCCCGCTGGCTAGACGACTACGGCGAGGCACCTGTAGGACCTCTAGCAGACGTAGGACCCCTAGGCACAGCACCCCCAGGCTCCGCACCCTCAGGCTCAGCACCCCCAGACTCAGTACCCCCAGGCTCAGCACCCCCAGGCTCCGCACCCCCAGGCTCAGCACCCCCAGGCTCCGCACCCCCAGGCCCAGCACCCCCAGACTCCGCACCCCCAGGCTCCGCACCCCCAGGCTCCGCACCCCCAGGCTCCGCACCCCCAGGCTCCGCACGCTCAGGCTCAGCACCCCCAGGCTCCGCACCCGCAGGCTCAGCACCCCCAGACGCAGCACCCCGAGCAGCACCAGAGTCGCTAATGACCTCGATAGGCTCAGCCAAGGGGAGTGGGTTCACCTGAGACACACCTGAAGGAGCAGGACCCTGAGGGGGGAGGGGGTCTACCGGAGGGGGACCTGGAGCGAGGAAGAGCGGCGGGGGGGGGAGAGGGGCAGTGCGGTAGGGAAAGAGACGGTAAAAGGGAACCGACTTGTCAAACGTGACGTCCTGAGAGGACAGAACACGGCGCGAGGTGGGGTGGTAAAACTGCCAGCCAGGCGCGTCAGGGGGGAAGCCAAGGAAGACACAGGGAATGGCGCGGGAGGAGAGCTTGTCCGCGGAGGTATCACGGACAAAGGCACGAGCGCCCCAGACCCGGAACACCGACGCATCGCCAACCTCCCCCGTCCAACGCAGTGT